ACCAACCCCACTCTTGAGATTGGATTAATTAGTTCACAGGTTAAACCACCACAGTTTAAATCACAAGTACTCTGAAATGGATAGTCACTTAGGTTGGACTGGACATTAACATGTACAGGCTCTGAATAAACCACAATACAATGTCAGAACATGTTTTATTAAGAGTACAAATTAAATGTATCAATTAGATATAGGCATCAACAAGGTTATATAATAAATATACATTCCTTTTGTATTTTTTAATTTTATAATGTTAAAAGAAGGCTCTATTGTACTATACAGTTCATAAAGGCAGGGCATACAAGCAGTGAGCATGCCAAAATTGAGCAAAATAGATGCAAAACAGAGATGCTATAATGTACACTGATTGGACAAAATATTATGAACACCTGCTCTTCCAATGACAGACTGACCAGGTGAATCGAGGTGAAAGCTATGATCCCTTATTGATGTCACTTGTTAAATACACTTCAATCAGTGTAGATGAAGGGGACACAGGTTAAAGAAGGATTTTTAAGCCTTGAGACAATTGAGACATGGATTGTGTATGTGTGCCATTCAGAAGCTGAATGGGCAAGCCAAACGATTTAAGTGCCTTTGAATAGGCTAGGGTAGTAGGTGCCAGGCGCACCGGTTTGTGTCAAGAACTTCAACGCTGCTGGGTTTTTCACGCACAACAGTTTCCCGTGTGTATCAAGAATGGTCCACCACCCAAAGGACATCCAGCCAACTTGACATAACTGTGGGAAGCATTTGAGTCAACATGGCCCAGCATCCCTGTGGAACGCTTCAGGGGGCTGAGGTGTGCAACTCAATATTAGGAAGGCATTCTTAATGTTTTGTACACTCAGTGAATAATCAGCTGGTGGGACATATTGTCCTCCAGAGGGCAGTGATTGTACTGTAATAGAAAGTAGTAAAATGAATGTCTTCAATGTTGTGATGTGATGCAATGTGCTTTTTGAATTAACTGTGTGGTCACCTTGACCACAGTGGTATCCTTCCAATTATTATTAGAATATTACAATCATACCTTTTAATTAACACATTTACCAGTCAGTAGTAGCCTATGACATGTTGGCCTACTGTGGATGTACAAATCTAATGTAACATATTGAGAAAACAACACAGGTGTCTATTCTAATCAAATGTAGGCTATCTGTCTAATCCACAATTGATTATTTCAGACATCTTTTGTTCCTGTTTGCAGGTAAGAGAAATAGCCTTTCCTTAAACTAACTCTAGGTGGCAACAGTAAGTCGGGGACAGTTTATAGATTGTATCTGGGACACACCCCAAATTTGGTTTGCTCTGATCTGTTATTAACGGGTTCGATGTATAGGTTAGTAAATGTAAGTCGCTGTGGATAAGAGCATCTGCTAAATGACAAGGTATGTAAATATTAATCCCAGCATTGCTACATCAAGAGTAATACAGTGACTGAAGATTTGCCAGCAATGTGAAAAAAAGTGACAAAGTGCAAACAGAGTATTCACAGTCAATATTGATGTACTCTTAAAACAATATTTAAAATAGCCCACTCTGGACCAAACTCAGTCAAATGCCTTTGACTACCTCTTTTTGACAAGAGGACATAGTTCAAGGGTAAATTCTTGTACAGATATTTACTCTCAGATTAAACTATTTTAAGAACATTGTCTGGCACAAGTGCAATGTACATCATAGACGTTTGTTAATGCTACATTTATGTTCTGGTTAACACTGACAAAATATTTTCAGGAAGTGCATTGTTATTTTTTCAATCTACTATTAATAGTTTTCCTGTATAAAAATATGTTAACAGATACAAAATAACTCCAATGAAAACAGAATGTGTGCGAAGAGAACCGCCAGGAACCATAGAGAAAGTGTTCTCCCATTATATTACTGTAAAAAGACAATAAAAAGACAGATATAAGACATGACAATTAATAGAAGTGTAATGCCCATCAACCACCACAGATAGGCTATTACATACAGTATTAATTGGCGTGACATGATCATAAAAAGATATTGACAACTCCTGTAGTTGATCATCTTTGATGATCAGGCACAAAGCTTGTATCATGCAGTTGATGTAAAGAGATCCCGTGGTTAAGCAATGCATACCATCTTATTTCAAAACATGTCCTTGGGGGAAACTGGAAATGGTGTCTAGCAGTCTTTAAAAATTCATGCTATTGATCCAACAACTGTTTTTTCAATATCTGTTAAATAAGTCAACATCTGCTTCCAAAGAGAGCTACAGTTGTCCCACTGGTTAGACACTTTTTTCCAGCTGAGTTATACCAGAAAGAAACCCAATTATCCACGAAGACCTTGGGAATCAATTACCAATATTCCATTAGGTAAAATCATTGTCCTGCCTTGTAACTTGACCAAACGAATACTGTAGACCTTATATGGCAGCTCAGTGCCTTCCAATGTTAGTATGCTATTGACCTCTGCTGTTGTTTCTCTGTTTAACATATGCATATGACAGTGGTATGGTAACATATCCATTACAAACTAAGTAAAGCCCAGGGACGTTTTGTTTCTCTAGTGGTGGTTTTCAATACTTTCCAAGATACTCAAGGAAGCAAGACACTCACCTTTTTACAGAAATGTCAATTTTATGAAGAATTTAGTAATAGATAAATGATTTGATTATGTTAAAACAACATAAGACGCCTAAAGCTCTATTAAAAGTTGAATACATACAGTGGGGAGAACAAGTATTTGATACACTGCCGATTTTGCAGGTTTTCCTACTTACAAAGCATGTAGAGGTCTGTAATTTTTATCAAAGGTACACTTCAACTGTGAGAGACGGAATCTAAAACAAAAATCCAGAAAATCACATTGTATGATTTTTAAGTAATTTAATTTGCATTTTATTGCATGACATAAGTATTTGATCACCTACCAACCAGTAAGAATTCCGGCTCTCACAGACCTGTTAGTTTTTCTTTAAGAAGCCCTCCTGTTCTCCACTCATTACCTGTATTAACTGCACCTGTTTGAACTCGTTACCTGTATAAAAGACACCTGTCCACACACTCAATCAAACAGACTCCAACCTCTCCACAATGGTTAGAAAATGGAAGAAGTTCAAGATGACGGTCAATCACCCTCGTCTGGGGCTCCATGCAAGATCTCACCTCATGGGGCATCAATGATCATGAGGAAGGTAAGGGATCAGCCCAGAACTACACGGCAGGACCTGGTCAATGACCTGAAGAGAGCTGGGACCACAGTCTCAAAGAAAACCATTAGTAACACACTACGCCGTCATGGATTAAAATCCTGCAGCGCACGCAAGGTCCCCCTGCTCAAGCCAGTGCATGTCCAGGCCCATCTGAAGTTTGCCAATGACCATCTGGATGATCCAGAGGAGGAATGGGAGAAGGTCATGTGGTCTGATGAGACAAAAATAGAGCTTTTTGGTCTAAACTCCACTCGCCGTGTTTGGAGGAAGAAGAAGGATGAGTACAACCCCAAGAACACCATCCCAACCGTGAAGCATGGAGGTGGAAACATCATTCTTTGGGGATGCTTTTCTGCAAAGGTGACAGGACGACTGCACCATATTGAGGGGAGGATGGATGGGGCCATGTATCGCGAGATCTTGGCCAACAACCTCCTTCCCTCAGTAAGAGCATTGAAGATGGGTCGTGGCTGGGTCTTCCAGCATGACAACGACCCGAAACACACAGCCAGGGCAACTAAGGAGAGGCTCCGTAAGAAGCATCTCAAGGTCCTGGAGTGGCCTAGCCAGTCTCCAGACCTGAACCCAATAGAAAATCTTTGGAGGGAGCTGAAAGTCCGTATTGCCCAGCGACAGCCCCGAAACCTGAAGGATCTGGAGAAGGTCTGTATGGAGGAGTGGGCCAAAATCCCTGCTGCAGTGTGTGCAAACCTGGTCAAGACCTACAGGAAACGTATGATCTCTGTAATTGCAAACAAAGGTTTGTGTACGAAATATTAAGTTCTGCTTTTCTGATGTATCAAATACTTATGTCATGCAATAAAATGCAAATTAATTACTTAAAAATCATACAATGTGATTTTCTGGATTTTTGTTTTAGATTCCGTCTCTCACAGTTGAAGTGTACCTTTGATAAAAATTACAGACCTCTACATGCTTTGTAAGTAGGAAAACCTGCAAAATCGGCAGTGTATCAAATACTTGTTCTCCCCACTGTAGCTAGTTCTACCCTTTTGAGTGTTTCCAACAAAGAAAATATACAGAATAAAATAAAAGATGCAACTTTCTCTTAAAATTGGTTAATGTATCTTAATCCTGTAAATTTAGTTAAGATTCGGAGATCAACCCCTGGCATTATGATATTAAATATAATCAAGTATACATTCTAGTTGAGACCAAGACAGGATTTTAGATGTGATACCAAAATAGATTGATGCTAATGGGGCATAATTGTCTGTACTCTGCAACAATAAACACCCGAAAGATGTCAGTAGCTTATGAGTCTGATGAGATCAAGACATGCTTCTGGCAGTCTGTTATTTTCCCATTCACTTCATTTGATCAGCTGTTGTCCAACAGACAGATGGCACCTGTTCATTTGGTCGAGGCTGGAGGCATGTTGGATTTTCAAAATTAATATTGAAGACATCAGGTAAACACCCTTGGAGTATAGATTTGTATAGGACATACTGTATCTCCACACTACTGTCCATGCAGCTCCAACCGTGTTTTGGTCAGAGAGGGTTTTAAAGGGTTGTGATAAATGATGACATTATTGGCAAAATGGATTAAACAATTAACTATATTTAGGTTTGGCAATCAATAGAAAATATATTTATTTCATCAGTTCCCTGCCCATGTCTTCTGTAAGAAACAGTCATAGAGGATGAAATAAACAGCAGATGTGATAGAAAAACAAATATTACCTCAAAACAAGTCCTATATTGTATCCGATTTCAGCATTCAAACAGTTATTTTTCTCTTAAAGCCTGCATAAATCAGTTTTGTAACGCACCACATGTCTTTGGATTCACAGGGAGCCATTGGGACTCTCCTGACTCCCACTGCTCTCTGTTGGTTGAGTGATTTTGAGATGTGCCAGTTGGTTGAGCTGGTGCTTGTTGCAGACTGGGATCTTGTTAGCCTGCAGGCTCTTGGTGTGGCGTGAATACCAGTCCCGCTCGAACGCATCCCTCACCTGTTCCACCAACGTTGAGTTCCTCTCCTTCACCCCCTCTGCCTGACTGATCACCATGCCTGCTCCAGCGTTGAACGTAAACTCATTCCCCACCCAGTCAAAGTTCCCTATGGGACAACAGACACCCGCCAAAAGCATTAATCAGAAACATAGATTAAAAAGTACTAGCCAAAGATCAACCCACCTCACAAGCAAACTAATCAACCCACCAACCAGTAGACCGACCAATAATTGAATAAACAAATCATTCATTCATTCGCAAAATACATATTAGTCATCTGAAATTCACGGAAGTAAACTCACCTATGTACACAGCACTGTCTGTCACTATGAATCTGTTATGGTTGATTCCCTGTAGCGTGCCATCTCTCTGCTCCCTGGGACTGAAGAACTTCTGCACAAAACACACAGAAGGACTGGCTTAGCAGTAGTGATGAATATGTTTGACATGATGTACAGTACATAAGGTTTGCAGGTACAGTAGAGATTATAATATAGTTATGATGAGCCTGATAATGTAGGCATGATGAGTGATGTTATACAGTTTGTATCCAGTTAATGAGGATGTAGGTGTGTGGTGTCCAATAATGTATTGTAGGTGCACACTCACAGCCTCCAGTGAACAGTTGGGGAGCTCCATACACAGGGTCTTCAGGGACCACACAAAGTTAAAGGTCAGGGGGTGTGTCTGCTCCCAGCAGCTTACTAACAGACGCACTTTGATGTTCCTCAGGATCAAGGCCTCCCGAAGCATCCCGTCTATACCTGACCAGTATCTGCCCAGGTAACAAAGAGTTACAAACACTTACCTGTTTGGTAATGACTGGTAATTATACACACATTTACACAGTTTTATCCTATCAGTTTCATTCTATCAGTTGTCATTGTGTTGTATAAATGGGCATATGATACAATGCTAACAATAAGATGATCAAGTGCTGTCAGTAATAAAGATTGCTCACCTGTGAGAATTCCTATTAGTGAGAGGCAGGTAATCTGTAATGGATATATAGATGAACCTCTTGGCCTTTTGGATCACATAGGATATGGCGTCGAGGTCTCTGGTCCTGTCTTTAGGGCAGAAGACATCTGGAGAGCTCTGCCACATGATGATAACAGACACTTAAAATCAGTGGAGAGTAGAGAACTGAGGCCCTCATGTCAATGTCAGGGCTACAGTGGCTTGCAAAAGTATTCACCCCCCTTGGCATTTTTCCTATTTTGTTGCCTTACAATCTGATTTTTTGGGGGTTTGTATCATTTGATTTACACAACATGCCTACCACTTTGAAGATGCAAAATATATATTTTTGTGAAACAAACAAGAAATAAGACTAAAAAACAGAACTTGAGGGTGAATAACTATTCACCCCCCCAAAGTCAATACTTTGTAGAGCCTCCTTTTGCAGCAATTACAGCTGCAAGTCTCTTGGGGTATGTCTCTATAAGCTTGGCACATCTAGCCACTGGGATTTTTGCCCACTCTTCAAGGCAAAACTGCTCTAGCTCCTTCAAGTTGGATGGGTTCCGCTGGTGTCCAGCAATCTTTAAGTCATACCACATATTCTCAATTGGATTGAGGTCTGGGCTTTGACTAGGCCATTCCAATATATTTAAATGTTTCCCCTTAAACCACTCGAGTGTTGCTTTAGCAGTATGCTTAGGGCCATTGTCCTGCTGGAAGGTGAACCTCCGTCCCAGTCTCAAATCTCTGGAAGACTGAAACAGGTTTCCCTCAAGAATTTCCCTGTATTTAGCGCCATCCATCATTCCTTCAATTCTGACCAGTTTCCCAGTCCCTGCCGATGAAAAGCATCCCCACAGCATGATGCTGCCACCACCATGCTTCACTGTGGGGATGGTGTTCTCTGGGTGATGAGAGGTGATGAGAGGTGTTGGGTTTGCGCCAGACATTTTTCCTTGATGGCCAAAAAGCTCAATTTTAGTTTCATCTGACCAGAGTACCTTCTTCCATATGTTTGGGGAGTCTCCCACATGCCTTTTGGCGAACACCAAATGTGTTTGCTTATTTTTTTCTTTAAGCAATGGCTTTTTTCTGGCCACTCTTTGGTAAAGCCCAGCTCTGTGGAGTGTACGGCTTAAAGTGGTCCTATGGACAGATACTCCAATCTCCGCTGTGGAGCTTTGCAGCTCCTTCAGGGTTATCTTTGGTCTCTTTGTTTCCTCTCTGATTAATGCCCTCCTTGCCTGGTCCGTGAGTTTTGGTGGGCGGCCCTCTCTTGGCAGGTTTGTTGTGGTGCCATATTCTTTCCATTTTTTAATAATGGATTTAATGGTGCTCCGTTGGATGTTCAAAGTTTGGATATTTTTTTATAACCCAACCCATATCTGTACTTCTCCACAACTTTGTCCCTGACCTGTTTGGAGAGCTCCTTGGTCTTCATTGTGCCGCTTGCTTGGTGGTGCCCCTTGCTTAGGAGTGTTACAGACTCTGGGGCCTTTCAGAACTGGTGTATACAGTGGGGAGAACAAGAATTTGATACACTGCCGATTTTGCAGGTTTTCCTACTTACAAAGCATGTAGAGGTCTGTAATGTTTATCATAGGTACACTTCAACTGTGAGAGACGGAATCTAAAACAAAAATCCAGAAAATCACATTGTATGATTTTTAAGTAATTAATTTGCATTTTACTGCATGACATAAGTATTTGATACATCAGAAAAGCAGAACATAATATTTGGTACAGAAACCTTTGTTTGCAATTACAGAGATCATACGTTTCCTGTAGGTCTTGACCAGGTTTGCACACACTGCAGGGATTTTGGCCCACTCCTCCATACAGACCTTCTCCAGATCATTCAGGTTTCGGGGCTGTCGCTGGGCAATACGGACTTTCAGCTCCCTCCAAAGATTTTCTATTGGGTTCAGTCTGGAGACTGGCTAGGCCACTCCAGGATCTTCTTACGGAGCCACTCCTTAGTTGCCCTGGCTGTGTGTTTCGGGTCGTTGTCATGCTGGAAGATCCAGCCACGACCCATCTTCAATGCTCTTACTGAGGGAAGGAGGTTGTTGGCCAAGATCTCGCGATACATGGCCCCATCCATCCTCCCCTCAATACGGTGCAGTCGTCCTGTCCCCTTTGCAGAAAAGCATCTCCACAGAATGATGTTTCCACCTCCATGCTTCACGGTTGGGATGGTGTTCTTGGGGTTGTACTCATCCTTCTTCTTCCTCCAAACACGGCGAGTGGAGTTTAGACCAAAAAGCTATATTTTTGTCTCATCAGACCACATGACCTTCTCCCATTCCTCCTCTGGATCATCCAGATGGTCATTGGCAAACTTCAGACGGGCCTGGACATGCGCTGGCTTGAGCAGGGGGACCTTGCGTGCGCTGCAGGATTTTCATCCATGATGGTGTAGTGTGTTACTAATGGTTTTCTTTGAGACTGTAGTCCCAGCTCTCTTCAGGTCATTGACCAGGTCCTGCCGTGTAGTTCTGGGCTGATCCCTCACCTTCCTCATGATCATTGATGCCCCACGAGGTGAGATCTTGCATGGAGCCCCAGACCGAGGGTGATTGACCGTCATCTTGAACTTCTTCCATTTTCTAATAATTGCGCCAACAGTTGTTGCCTTCTCACCAAGCTGCTTGCCTATTGTCCTGTAGCCCATCCCAGCCTTGTGCAGGTCTACAATTTTATCCCTGATGTCCTTACACAGCTCTCTGGTCTTGGCCATTGTGGAGAGGTTGGAGTCTGTTTGATTGAGTGTGTGGACAGGTGTCTTTTATACAGGTAACGAGTTCAAACAGGTGCAGTTAATACAGGTAATGAGTGGAGAACAGGAGGGCTTCTTAAAGAAAAACTAACAGGTCTGTGAGAGCCGGAATTCTTACTGGTTGGTAGGTGATCAAATACTTATGTCATGCAATAAAATGCAAATTAATTACTTAAAAATCATACAATGTGATTTTCTGGATTTTTGTTTTAGATTCCGTCTCTCACAGTTGAAGTGTACCTATGATAAAAATGACAGACCTCTACATGCTTTGTAAGTAGGAAAACCTGCAAAATCTGCAGTGTATCAAATACTTGTTCTCCCCACTGTATATACTGAGATCATGTGGCACTTAGATTGCACACAGGTGGACTTTATTTAACTAATTATGTGACTTCTGAAAGTAATTGGTTGCACCAAATCTTATTTAGGGGCTTAATAGCAAAGGGGGTGAATACATATGCTCACACCACTTTTCCGGTATTTATTCTTTAGAATTGTTTTAGACAAGTTATTTTTTTAATTTCACTTCACCAATTTGGACTATTTTGTGTATGTTCATTACATGAAATCCAAATAAAAATCCATTTAAATTACAGGTTGTAATGCAACAAAATAGGAAAAACGCCAAGGGGGATGAATACTTTTGCAAGGCACTGTATATACTGTAGATGCAATCAATCATTGTCATTGTCATCATCATCACCACACGTCTTGGAGCATATCTTTGTCACAGCCTCTCTAAGAGTAAAATGATGTCTCTCCCTGGAACTGATTCTGTCGCTATGTTATTCACCTCCCCTCTCTGTGTGTAATCAGAATGTGGGTGTGTGTGATGAGAACAATGACGGATCACGGTTCACATGGATTGCTATCAATAGTTCCAATGATTAACGTTTCCTCTGCATTTCAGAAATGTTCATCGACATGAAGAGATGGCCAAGCCTAATTTATAGCGAGCCAACCACATGTTTTCTGATGCCATTTTTCATCCAGTCAGCAGACATAAAAAAATTGAGCTGATGAGTTATAGCGAGCTGTATAAGAAATTGATTTTTTCACCTAACCGTCACCTCTCTTGAAAGTTATTACAACTGTGGGAGGATGTTGCAAATGTTTACATCATATCAGGACTAATGAAAAGGTTGGAGCCAAGAAAAGTCTTCGCTATGAAAATAGTATCCATAAATATTGGCAATTTCTTATTGCTAGCAAGAAAAACCCCCACAGAATTCCAAATCTCAGAGAAGTATTCATTAATTGAATATACAGATGAGCCTGTCTCTCAGAATGATAAAAAAAACAATGATACATTAGTAACGGCATGAGTTTTCCCCTGACTATGTAACCAGACATGGAAAAACTCAAGGCCCTTGTTATAAGGTCACATCGTCAGGACAAACTCCTGGCCTTAAGTATAAAGCCATGGGTGAGAATGTCACTCACAGAGAGAAAGACCTCAGCCTTGGTGTTGTTGAAGAGAAGCGGGAGGTTCTCATCTTTGTTCCACAGGGCACTCAGCCTCTTGGACCAGATGGACGGTATAAAGTCCTTATACTGCAGCTGCCAGTAGAGATTGAATACCCTGTGCAGGTCCAGTGCCAGGCAACTACAGTTGTAGATGATGATCCCCAGTTCTTTCATCTAAGAGACAACAAAGCAACAACACAGATGTTGTAAGATGTTAGCACGTGCCCCCAGGGACTCCACCCACACCCAACTTTACCCTTCCTCCACCCATCTCCTCTTCTCCTTCTCTCCCCCATTTTCCTTTACTTCCATTCCCACTTTGTCCTCTCCTTCCGTCTCCTACTCCCCACACTTCCATTTACCCTTCTCCCTTGTTCTTGTCTCCCCTCCACAGCCCAGTGCCTCTCGCCCCTCCAGCCCTGACTCCCCCCATCCTCTCCTGCCCTCTTCTGGCCCTGGACAAGGCAGATAGTCCTCCAGGCACTTCCAATCACCAGGCCTCTCCTATCCCCTCTCACAGCTGGGGTTTTCAAGTGATGCCCTTTTCAAGCAAGGGTTTATTTCAGTGAAATGCTAAAGAAAGACAGGCTAGGTACAGCGAATCGGGTCACACTTGAATGAACCGTTGTACTTTTTCCGGCTTTGAGCAGCACATGAAAGAATGTCCACATTCCCTTTTTGTCCCTACTCAATTAATTCAGTATTTTCCTCTCTCCTTCGTTAAAAGGTTTCAAGTTTTCTGCCAACTATAAGGTTGCATCTCTTTCCTATTCAGTATGTTTGTGCAACCTGAGCCAATTAATGTATGCTGTTCTCCTAGGGTAAATAGCAGAGTGTTTGAATACATATTTATTGCTGAGTCATTGGACAAATCACCAGAGAAGATGGCTGTACACAGTGGCCTCAACATACCTGCCAAATATCAGAACTCAAAATCAAACAGATTTTGTGTACACAATTGGTTAGTAAAAGGGTTTACGGAATCAAAGTGTGGAACATAGTCAGTATGAGGTGTACTCATAGGTGGTCTCATTGAATGGGGTAAAAATGTTACAGAAATACACACAGGTAGGTGATATAATGGAGTGAATATACTAAGATACCATGGACAGTGATCGCCAGTCCATGGTGGCACTGCCGATGTAGATGTGCTTCCTGTCCACCACCCAGAAAGAAGAGTGCAGAAAGCCTTTGGTCAGGGCAGTCATGTTAATGTAGTGCACCTCACCTACACAGGTTGGAAAAGACACAGAAAACGACGGAGATAGAAATCTCAACATTTTATGTATGTTAGTATTGCATGTAAGATGGGAGTCACGATGTAACGTCCCTCCTCAAGGTAAGTGTCAAGACTATATGAATACGCTGCAATAAAAGTCATTTCCACTATCAATAGTAATGATATAAACAGTATTTTCTATAAAAAGTGGCAATATACACTTCCAGTCAAAGGTTTGGACACACCTACTCATTCAAGGGTTTTTCTTTATTTTTACTATTTTCTACATTGTAGAATAATAGTGAAGACATCAAAACTATGAAATAACACAAATGGAATCATGTAGTAACCAAAAAAGTGTTAACCAAAAATATTTTATATTTGAGATTCTTCAAATAGCCACCCTTAGCCTATTTGACCAAGAAGGAGAGTGATGGAGTGCTGCATCAGATGACCTGGCCTCCACAATCCCCAGACCTCAACCCAATTGAGATGGTTTGGGATGAGTCGGACGGCAGAGTGAAGGAAAAGCAGCCAACAAGTGCTCAGCATATGTGGGAACTCCTTCAAGACTGTTGGAAAAGCATTCCAGGTAAAGCTGGTTGAGAGAACGCCAAGAGTGTGCAAAGCTGTCATCAAGGCAAAGGGTGGCTATTTGAAGAATCTCACTTTGTTGGTTACTACATGATTCCATATGTGTTATTTCATAGTTTTGATGTCTTCACTATTATTCTATAATGTAGAAAATAGTAAAAATAAAGAAAAACCCTTGAATGAGTAGGTGTGTCCAAACTTTTGACTGGTACTGTATTTGGAAAGTAAATATAGCTGTAACTCTGATGTTGTGGGTTACAACATGACTCACTCAGACGAGAGAGGCTCTTGAGCTCTACAGAGTTGATCATTCCACTGGCTATCTTCAAATTGATTCCCTTCTTCTTCAGCCCCCGCAGTCTTTGCAGCAAAGCCCGACCCTGTAAGCAAGAACACAATCAATAGCATCATCATAGGTCATCACATTCTGGTGGGTAACTGGATGTGTTTGATAGGGGATGTTTAGACAATTCCTAACATGGTAGGAAGATGACATACTGGCAGTGTCCAATTCTCAGAATCTTCATTCAGCGATATACCCCTACACATGAGTATACACATTCAGGGAGCATAAAGCACAGCCATGCTCTGAAATAATATGTTATACTTTCAGGTCCCCAATCCTTTTTTAAACTGAGGTTTCATTTCAGTGGAGCACAGGAAACAATTGCTGCAGGCTAAAGCGATTAGGTTTGCATAGCCTGGAGGCCCCCTCTCCAGTCAAACTGCCATGGCGAGCAATTAGGCATGACACATTACATTCTCACTAATTACACTGAACCAAAATATAAATGCAACAAGTATTGTTTCATGAGCTGAAATAAAAGATCCCAGAAATTTTCCATACGCACAAAAAGCTTATTTCTCTCCAATTTTGGCCACAAATGTGTTTACATCCCTGTTAGTGAACATTTATCCTTTGCCAAGACAATCCATCCACCTGGCAGGTGTGGCATATCAAGAAGCTGATTAAACAGCATGATCATTACACAGGTGCACCGTGTGCTGGGGACAATAAAAGGCCACTCTAAAATGTGCAAGTCACCCAACACAATACCACAAATGTCTCAAGTTTTGAGGGAGAGTGCAATTGACATGCTGACTGCAGGAATGTCCACTAGAGCTGTTGCCAGAGAATTGAATGTTCATTTCTTTACCATGAACTGCCTCCAACGTCGTTTTAGAGAATTTGGCAGTACATCCAACCGGCCTCACAACCGCAGACCACGTGTAACTACGCCAGCTCAGGACCTCCACATCCGGCTTCTTCACCTGCGGGATTGTCTGAGACCAGCCACCCTGACAGCTGATGAAACTGTCTCAGGGAAGCTCATCTGCTTGCTCGTTGTCCTTACCAGGGTCTTTACCTGACTGCAGTTCAGCGTCATAACCGACTTCAGTGGGCAAATGCTCACCTTCGATGGCCACTGGCATGCCGGAGAAGAGTACTCTTCACAGATGAATCCCGGTTTCAACTGTACCGGGTAGATGGCAGACAGCGTGTACGGGGTCGTGTGGGCCAGCAGTTTGCTGATGTCAACGTTGTGAACAGAGTGCCCCATGGTGGCAGTGGGGTTATGGTATGGGCAGGGATAGACAAAAGAACACAATTGTATTTTATCAATGGCAATTTGAATGCACAGAGATTGACGAGATCCTGAGGCCCATTGTCATGCATGATAATGCACGGCCCCATGACGCAAGGATCTGTACACAATTCTTGGAAGCTGAAAATGTCCCAGTTCTTCCATGGCATGCATACTCACCAGACATGACCAGACAACATTCTACAGGCCACAATCAACAGCCTGATCAACTCTATGAGAAGGAGATGTGTCGCGCTGCATGAGGCAAATGGTGGTCACACCTGATACTGACTGGTTTTCTGATCCATGCCCCTACCTTTTTTTTAAAGACATCTGTGACCAACAGATGCATATTCCCAATTATGTAAAATCCATAGATTAGGGCCTAATGAATTTATTTCAATTGACTGATTTCCTTATATGAATCTTAACTTAGTAAAATCTTTGAAATTGTTGCATGTTGCGTTTATATTTTTGTTAGTGTAACTAAACGCCAGTGGGTAGATACAGGGGCTGTCCAAAACTCAACACTGGCATTTTAGCCAAGCCCAAGTGTAAATTTAACCTCAATATAAGCAGGGCTGTTAGGGTGCTAATGGCTGTCAGCTGTTTGGGAGTCTGCCTGTGTGCCAACACAGTGGATGGGCTCAACTTTGCCTGCAACCCAGGAAAACGAATGGCACATTCTGGCAGAAAGAGGCCATACGTAGCCTGCATAAGTCTATAAATACAATGTGTGAGAGATGGATAAGACTGGGCTTAAAGTAACTGTCCAGTGTTTCCAGATTTCTATGAAATAGGACCTCTACTTACTTACAATATGAGTGAAATAGTTATTTCCAAAAAATTGTAATTAAGCATGTTAAAAAGCAGCTTTTCTGTGTTGGAACGGTGCGGGCGTACCCCAACCAACAGAATGGTGTGGGCGTATACCGGTCATTAAAAATATTCACACGTGTAGACCGCTGATTGGCCAGCTCATCCTCCTCTAGACCGCTGATTGGCCAGTTCACACCCCTCAGGAGGATGACATCATACAGAAAGCATTTTTTAGATAAAAGTTTGAAGTGGGGATTTTAAAGTGTTTTTTCTCAAATGTATGCGTTGGCCACAAATACGAGTACAAACAACATTATTTGGGTATTAGTTAACAGAATATGAACTTTTAAAAGTGAGATTTTCACTGGCTGATCTTTGAAGCTTATCATAGAAAGCAACAGTGAGAAGTCAAAGCAGGTGGAATACATTATTTGTATTCTTGGTGGAAGAACAGTAATAATCTGGTTTTGCTGACAAGAAAAATACCATTAGTAAAACTGCAACGTAAGTGGAGAGACAATTGAGAATTAGACTATAGTTGCTATATTTTACTGTCAAACTTTGATTTTTTTCAGGTTCAATAGAGATTAATTACATACATCTTTATGTGCACTAACTAATATCATATGCTAATAAAATTTGTGGTTCAACCCCTGAGGAAGTGGAAACTCAAAACACATTAACTAGATCGCTAACTAAATATAAATATAATAGATAAATATAATACCCACTGCTAGTAGCCATGTATTCATCCAACAGTAAATGTAATGTCCTAAAAAAATACTTGCAGTTGTAGGCTACTACCTATGAAACCTATTCATACGTTGCAACTCCGTCACGTCATGCCATTGTTATGAACGTTCTCAAGCCGCCATCTATCGGCGGCGCCATAGTGGTGCCCTAAAGTGGTGATAAACCCAGTCATTCTGAACGGAGGCTAACTACTGTTTAGTCTAAATTACACTATAGTACCTGGAAGTATGATTGCATTGCTAAAGTAGTGAAATATTTAGTAGGAAACAACTTTGCCAGCATTATCATGTCGTCAAATGTCCTTTAGACGTATGGCAATGGTGTCATTTAGCTAGCAAATGGACAATGCTAAGGATAGCTAGCTAAAATCCGGTGGCCTCCCGTCAACATTATACTGCATCTAAAGTCAATCTGGTGACATCAAAATTATGACAAAATGTTTTCCTTTGAAATTCATTGTATTTCCAAGCCACTGTAACGCACTTTGGATTAAATCTTCATCAGCGTCCATTGACGATGAATTGAGTAGAATGCTCAGTCGGGCATCAGTCCAAAACGAACGTTCAAAACAATATTGTGAGGAAACATGCAACCCATGAATAGGCCTATGCCCTCGCAATGGCCGGTGCGCATTTCGCGCTTTCCGCTCCATATCTCAACGCCATATAAAATATCTTGGTTGTAAAATAGTTGCTATTGAGACGAATATTGAGAAATAAAAATTATACCTACAAAAAGCTGAGACCCTCCTCTCTTCGACAGGGACAAGGGGACGAAGCTTCTAAAGCTGTGTTTTTCCCCCAATTGCATTTTTAAATGTTATAAGATCACAACACATTTTTATCTTTAGCGCATGGAGTGTGAAGAGAGCGGCTCATTCATCACAGCAGCAGGCCCCAGAGAGGGCACAGGCACAAGGGCAGGGCAGACACTTTCATTACAGGAGTCATGTTTGACCAAATCATGGTTTTAGCCGCACCAAAAATAGGACGTTTTGTGTGAAATTACAATGCAGAATGTGTTCTTTGGGGCGGCAGGTAGCTTAGTGGGTAAGAGCGTTGTGCCAGTAACCGAAAGGTCGCTGGTTCTAATCCCCGAGCCGACTAGGTGAAAAATCTGTCGATGTGCCCCTTAAGCAAGGCACTTAACCCTAATTGCTCCTGTAAGTCGCTCTGGATAAGAGCGTCTGCTAAATGACAAAAAAAAAAAAAAATCTTTCTACATTTATAGGCACCATTTCCGTTTTCTACAACCCATGATCTTGGCTGTCTAACTGAAGACAGAGTTGGAGTGGATCTCTTTGCTGATCTCCTTGCTGATGGCTTGTTTGACTTTGAATGTGAGTTTGCGTGACCTCAGCCAAAGGCTCATTATAGATTAGGATAAAAGAGAAATTGTGCAAAAATCATAAAAAACAACAACACTTAACCGGCCCATGGGCTGCCATATCACCTTTTTCATTGTTTTATTTTTATACTGTTTATATAAAAATATACACTACCGTTCAAAAGTTTGGGGTCACTTAGAAATGTCCTTGTTTTCCATGAAAACATACATGAAATGAGTTTGAATAGGAAATATAGCAAAATGCATAGAAAATGTAGTCATTGACAAGGTTAGAAATAATGATTTTTTATTGAAATAATAAGTGTGTCCTTCAAACTTTGCTTTCGTCAAAGAATCCTCAATTTGCAGCAATTACATCCTTGCAGACCTTTGACATTCTAGTTGTCAATTTGTTGAGGTAATCTGAAGAGATTTCACCCCATACTTCCTGAAGCACCTCCCACAAATTGGATTGGCTTGATGGGCACTTCTTACGTACCATACGGTCAAGCTGCTCCCACAACAGCTCAATAGGGTTGAGATCCGGTAACTGTGCTGGCCACTCCATTATAGACAGAATACCAGTTGACTGCTTCTTCCCTAAATAGTTATTGCATTGTTTGGAGCTGTGCTTTGGGTCATTGTCCTGTTGTAGGAGGAAATTGGCTCCAATCAAGCGCCGTCCATCTTCAAGATCCCTTTTACCCTGTACAAATCTCCCACTTTACCACCACCAAAGCACCCCCAGACCATCACATTGCCTCCACCATGCTTGACAGATGGCATCAAGCACTCCTCCAGCATCTTTTCATTTGGTCTCCGTCTCACAAATGTTATTCTTTGTGATCCGAACACCTCAAACTTCAATTTGTCTGTCCATAACACTTTTTTCCAATCTTCCTCTGTCCAGTGTCTGTGTTCTTTTGCCCATCTTAATCTTTTCTTTTTATTGGCCAGTCTGAGATATGGCTTTTTCTTTGCAACTCTGCCTAGAAGGTCAGCATCCCGGAATCGCCTCTTCACTGTTGACGTTGAGACTGGTGTTTTGCGGGTACTATTTAATGAAGCTGCCAGTTGAGGACCTGTGAGGCGTCTGTTTCTCAAACTAGACACTCTAATGTATTTGTCCTCTTGCTCAGTTGTGCACTGGGGCCTCCCACTCCTCTTTCTATTCTGGTTAGAGCCAGTTTGCGCTGTTCTGTGAAGGGAGTAGTACACAGCGTTGTACAAGATCTTCAGTTTCTTGGCAATTTCTCGCATGGAATAGCCTTCATTTCTCAGAACAAGAATAGACTGATGAGTTTCAGAAGAAAGTTATTTGTTTCTGGCCATTTTGATTCTGTAATCGAACCCACAATTGGGTCAATATCACCATAAGGTGCCTTTGAGACTTCCCCATTTCCCCCCCAAAAAGCTGAGATTTTCCATTGAACTTCATATTCATTGTATTAAGTATATGTTATGCTGTTAGAAATGCATATTGGTCAAGCTCCCACACTTTTTATAAATTAACTGCAAGCAGACAATTTACATGCAAACAGCAAAATATGTCCACCCTGTCATGGACAATTTCAAAGCAGAATAAATACATTGTAATTACATAGTGATTATAAAACGTACATTTTCAGAAAACGATTTAGTCACTTTCTCAACAATATATTTTAGTTTATGGGAAAAGTATTTGGATAATAATGAAATTATGGCAAACTATTTGTTTTTCTATAAAATCTGCGAGAGTTGCACTTTCTTTTCTAAATAAAATCTAACAAAGAAGATATCTGGTCAAACTTTCAAACAAACTATTTGGCCCTCATTTGTTTATAAAGGAATCACACAAAAGATTTTGCTAACTTGTGAAAATAATTTGTTTATTTTCATAGAACATGAAAATAACAGGGTGGACAGTGACATGACAGGGTGGACCCTGGGCATGACAGAGTGGACACGTTGTGAAATGTCATTGAATGGCCTCATAAATGCAAGGAACAATGCAAGAAAATGATGTAAAAAATGCCTTTTCCCATGTAGGGGGAAATTACAAGTTGAACAGACTGTTTTTGATCCACTCTACCTGCATGCAGCCACTGAATAAAGATGCCCAAAATGAGACATTAATGTGGCCTTCTAGCGTTAAACTCTGTACATCATTCTGCACAGTGAAATTCAAACATTCAACTGTAGAACAAGAAGAAAAATGTTTTTTAAGTGGAGAACAGTTGATTTGAAAAAACAGAATATTACAGAAAGATCACTTGGACGCATCTCCAAACAGTCTCTCCCTTTCTGCAGAGACATGGCTCAGTTCTGCAGTTGCTGTTCCACATACTTCCATGCAGACACTTCAATCTGTACAGAGCGCTTGTTCAGAGCCTGTGGTTCTGGTATTAGGCAAAGTACTTGCCAGTCATGGTACCAACAGATGTCGTCCTGAAGACTTGGCCATTTGAACTTGTTTATGCCATGGCGTTGCATACACTTAACTTTCACACTGTGCCCTTCTGCATCCATGATAATATGCCATTTAGCAGACGCTTTCATCCAAAGCGACTTACAGTCATGTGTGCATACATTTTTACATATGGGTGGTCCCGGGGATCGAACCCACTACCCTGGCGTTACAAGCGCCGTGCTCTACCAATTGAGCTACAGAGGACCACAATGATGATACCTGGGTATGCTTCATTGTCATAATTAACGACGCACCACTCTCCAATGTGCTTTACCTCAATCATTTCTGGTCTCCTAGGATTATCTGGTGTCTTTCCACATGCTGGGGACTTGTCAGATGAAACAGGAACATTAGCTAGAGTGACCTCTTGAAGGTTAAAGCAGGGGCAGTCCAAAACACCTTCCTCCCTTTTACACAGACATGAAATGTCTCTGTATTTCATTTGGCCGGGTGTCAGACTGATAGCTTGGTGGATTCTCATAGTGCCTTTTATGGCACTGGCCCTGTTTCTGGCTCTGGCTTGACTTTTTGCCTCTCTCCATTTCTTTCTTTTTGCCCTCTTCTCTCTCTCACTGAGCTCATTGACACCCTTCTTCTTTCCAGTCTCTCTGTCTTTTTTCCATTTGACCCTTTCTTTCTCAAGGTACTTTCTTCTTCTGTCTGGGTCAGCATCACGACGTTCCCGATATCTCCTTGCTATCTCAGCTCCTTTTGATCTCATTCCTTGAAAAAGACGATTCAAAATGTTCCCTTACACACTTTAATTGGCAGTCCCGGTAAACTAGGCTTGCATTATCAAACTAGGTTTGCTGATACCGATATCGCCAAAAAAATTGTCCATATTGTCCATTCTTACTATGTATAGCATGTACTGTTATAAAATGTGTGTAATAGCTGTTGTAATATGTGTAACATTATCAGTATGTGGCCTAAACTATGCACATGTCCTTCCTGTCATGAACCATGTCCACCCTGTCATGGAAGGCTTGCTGACAGGGTGGACAATGACAGGGTGGACATTTTTGGCTAATGTTAGCATTTAATGAGCACATGGTGGACCTTCACTTAGCAACATACTACAGTTAGCAAGCTGACTGTGTACTGTTTTACAAATATATTTCAAAGTTCTGATAGGTTTTTCTATCAATTGATATTTCACTATGACAGAGTGGACATGTTAAGCTTGACAACATCCAACTACACACATAATATGATGAAAATTATGAAACATAAGTGTAAATACTTACTCTGCAACTAGACACTGCTTCAGCCTTCATTGAAGAAAGACAAAATGCTCGTAGTGATGTCACTGAAAACATCAGTGGGTTTCATAAAGGGGCAGTTACCCCATAATGACAGGGTGGACAGCAATTTCAGGGACACATGCAAAATGTTCAATATGATTATGAAAATACAATATACATGATCAAAATTACTTGTTTTATCAAATAACTTATTGTGGACAGTAAAACCATGAATTTTGGGGGGGGGTTTAGTATCATTTATCCACTTATTACACACACTGTAGTTAGCAGAGCAGTGTGTGGGACATGCCAAAATCACGTACATCCAATGAAAAAAATTTAATAAAATGAAGGAAACACTTTTTCAGAGACTTATCATTCTACTGATATGTGTGCAAATGTTTGGCCACTTATAATAAGACCTCAGACTTTCATTATTCTGCTACATTTTCATGATGACTGAGTGAGTCTGATGAGGACACCAAAGGCACCTCATAGTGATATTGACTCAATTGCTGATGCTCCAGATACTCAACTAGTCTCAACAAGGCCAGTTTTATTGCTTCTTTAATCAGCACAACAGTTTTCAGCTGTGCTAACATAATTGCAAAAGGGTTTTCTAATGATCAATTAGCCTTTTAAAATTATAAACTTGGATTAGCAAACACAACGTGCAATTGGATCACAGGACTGATGGTTGCTGATAATGGACCTCTGTACGCCTATGTAGATATTCCATAACAAATCAGCCGTTTCCAGCTACAATAGCCATTTATAACATTAATAATGTCTACACTGTATTTCTGGTCAATTTGATGTTATTTTAATGGACAAAAAAATTGATTTTCTTTCGAAAACAAGGACATTTCTAAGTGACCCCAAACTTTTGAACGGCAGTGTATATTTTCAATTTTGACCAGCCTACCCAAGAAAAAAATGGTCCAGCCCATCTGGCACTTGCCAGAACTGCCAGATGGCCAATCCGCCACTGCTAATGACGTACTTGGCCTGGTTGGTTGTTGGGTTTACCTGGTTGGTTGTTGTGCTTACCTGACTAGAAGATGGTAGGAAGCTTGATTCATAGTCAGAAGAGTTCAGGTTCCATTGTGGTGACACAATCTCCACAGAACGACCAGCCACGGCCAGGTCCAACAGGCTGTGCAGCCCAGCAGAGAGGGTGAGGTGGGCCGTACCATTCTCAGAGAAGGTGACATCTTCTGGAATATTCTCCACAAGCACTACCCTGTGATTGAAAAAGAGTGAAAAACATCCAATGTAATGAAGACAAATGGCTGTTTTTCAGGTTTGTAATGGAAAAGACCTGAAAGACAGAAGTTTAATTAAAGAAGCCCCCAAAATGTTATTTCTAATAGAGGAATTTACAGCACATTGATGTGTAGTTTGAGTCTTCAAGAGACAATTATGTCCGTCTGTATTAGCCACAGAATCATCCATACCTTGTGCAGCTGCCTTGGGATGTTGTAAAATGAGGTCATATTCATTGACTTTCACGTATGATTACCTCCTGCACTATGTTTGAGATTGAGAACACTTTCCATCTGGGCATTATTACTGAGATGGGTTTTAGGGGAGAAGAGAAGAGTAGCTGAACTGCTTTCTAACAGGAACACCATGGCAGAGCTCTTATTGAACTGTAATACATTTTCCAGGGCATAATTTGGCATCATTCTCTCCTGACTGCTTTCAAGTAGAGTGAATGTTTGTATCATAAATGTAATGGAAATGAGACATTAAAGGTTCAAAAAATGATATACCCAGCCAGTGAAGTCCTAAGACCAATAGTCAGTCATCAAGCCTGGCTTAAAATAGTACTTGTTTTCTTTGAAATACTTCAAGCAATAGATTGAGTCTGCTTGGATGGGCAGGGTTTGCAGTTTTGGGATTATTCCATTAGTTCCATTACACCAGGCAAGCTCAATTAAGTACAGTTAAAGTATTTTAAAGAATTTGGACCCAGGTCGTCATTTTTTCTTTACCCCACCGATTGGCACCCAGTAGGAAATACATTTCAGAAACACTTTATGTACTTGTTTCTATTGTGTCTCCAGTTATTTATCAAGGCCTTAGTGAAACAGGCAACATGACAACAAACACAGTCCTAACAGATACCAAAGTATCTATTTTAATATGCATATGCAGCACAATGCATGTCAAACTGTGTGCTGGGCCACAAGAACATTTACATTTGACGTTTTAGTCATTTAGCAGACACTCTTATCCAGAGCGACTTACAGATAGTGAGTGCATACATTTTTCATACTGGCCCCCCGTGGGAATCGAACCCACAACCCTGGCATTGCAAACGCCATGCTCTACCAACTGAGCTACACAGGACTACTTCATAGCTAATTGATCATAGCTAATTTAAGGCAGTCTTCCAAGAATGTGCCACATCTTCCAAGAAAGTTCAGTCCCGGTATCGTGTCATTTGGGTGACAGAAAATCGTTCCCTGCTGTCTTTAATGTTTCAAACCCAATTATAACCCGGCAGGTAAACATATTGGATTTAGTGTGTCAGTCCGAGTGCTTTAGACACACTGTATGCTATATCAAGCCTCAATGGCTCCTGCTTTATCGTGCCAGGTCATTGATTCATACCGATCCAATGCTGAGCACATATTCTTCATGCTGGGAAATGGTTCAATTTTGGAGGAAAACACAGTAAATCATATAAAGCAGTAATGGGGCAAGTCAAGTGAATGGTGAATGCAGACAACCATTAATTTCCTGTCCCTGGTTGATTCAGCAAGCTGATGAAATATTGTCAGTGCTGCAAAACCAAACTGACAGGTGGTGAGACAGAAACATGACTAACCACTTTATTCAGGTCACGATGTTGGAGCAAGATGAGGAATATGGTAAGGTGAGGCCACTAAGGTGTTCAAATGTTCCATAATGAAAGCACTACATATCCCAAAGAGGATGGTAGTCAAAGAAATGTGTGTGAAATGAACTTAGATTGATTTAGGTCAGGATCAAGAAAGTATTGTAGATTATTCTGCTGGCTTTCAATCTCTAAAACATGTATAGCCAAACGCAATAACACGCAATAAACAAACACTGAAAATAGCATGCAATATGCAGAGAGATTTAGCAATATTCAAATGAAAATGAAGTCACTCCATGCATTATTTACCATTAGAATTAGAAACACAAAAGGGGCACCGCATCAAATAGGACAGATAGCTCATAATAACCATCTCATAATGAAAAAAGCAGGGAAATGGAAAACCAGGGAAGGGAAGAATGTAATCTTAATAAAAAACAATAAACACAACCCATTCACTCAGGAAATGATGCATGGCGATTCTGTATGCCTGTAGACATCAAGCAGGTTTGTGTAAAGTGAGAATAAGAAGAACATTTGTTTCAGCACTAAGGCAGTCCATTGATTTATTCACAGTCAGTGTGCATTACCCCACACTCATTTGAAATCCCAATGTGCAGCCATGTGTGTTATTTGGTCTGCAGGTGGAGGAAATTTCAGTGATTTTCAAGGCAAAACTTTTCAATCTCCAGAATGACCATGAAATGCCTCCCACCTATCTGACAGGCTAATTTTACTGTTGTTGCTGTCCTTCAGTGGAGCATCCGTCATACACATACAGTGCATTCGAAAAGTATTCAGACCCCTTGACTTTTTCCACATTTTGTTATGTTACAGCCTCATTCTAAAATTGATTAAATTGTTTTTTCTCCTCATCAATCTACACACAATACCTCATAAGGATTTTAGAATTGGCTGCAAATTGTTAAACAATAAAAAAACGTTAATATCACATTTACATAAGTATTCAGACCCTTTACTCAGTACTTTGTTGAAGCGCCTTTGGCAGCGATTACAGCTTCTTGGGTATGACACTACATGCTTGGCACACCTGTATTTGGGGAGTTTCTCCCATTCTTCTCTGCAGATCCTCTCAAGCTCTGTCAGGTTGGATGGGCAGCTTCACTGCACAGCTATTTTCAGGTCTCTCCAGAGATGTTCGATCGGGTTGAAGTCCGGGCTCTGGCTGAGCCACTCAAGGACATTTAGAGACTTGTCCAGAAGCCATTCTTGCATTGTCTTGGCTGTGTGCTTAATGTCGTTGTCCTGTTGGAAGGTGAACCTTCGACCCTAGTCTGAGGTCCTGAGCGCTCTGGAGCAGGTTGTCATCAAGGATCTCTCTGTACTTTGCTCCGATCATCCTTCCCTCGATCCTGACTAGTCTCCTAGTCCCTGCCGCTGAAAAACATCCCCACAGCATGATGCTGAGGAGTGGCTTCCATCTGGCCACTCTACCATAAAGGCCTGATTGGTGGAGTGCTTCAGAGATGGTTCTCCTTCTGGAGCTCTGAGAGTGACCATCAGGTTCTCGGGCACCTCCCTGACCAAGGCCCTTCTCCCCCGATTGCCTAGTTTGGCCGGGCAGCCAGCTCTAGGAAGAGTCTTGGTGGTTCCAAAGTTCTTCCCTTTAAGAATGATGGAGGCCACTGTGTTCTTGGGGACCTTCAATGCTGCAGACATGTTTTGGTACCCTTCCCCAGATCTGTGCCTCGACACAATCCTGTCTCGGAGCACTACGGACAATTCTTGGCTTGGATTTTGCTCTGACATGCACTGTCAACTGTGTGACCTTATATAGACAGGTGTGTGCCTTGCCAAATCATGTCCAATCAATTGAATTTACCACATGTGGACTCCAATCAAGTTGTAGAAACAGCTCAAGGATGATCAATGGAAACAGGATGCACCTGAGCTCAATTTCGAGTCTCATAGCAAAGTGTCTGAATACTTATGTAAATTATTTTATAAATTAGCAAAAATGTATAAGAACCGGTTTTCGCTTTGTCATTATGGGGTATTGTGTGTAGATTGATGAGGGAAAATAATTATTTAATCAATTTTAGAATAAAGCTGTAACGTAACAAAATTTGGAAAAAGTCAAGGGGTCTGAATACTTTCCGAATCTTCTAACAAATAAGTCCAGTTAAATCCAGCGGCTCTGCGAACGGGCAGGAAGCCTGTCCAGGCAGACACACTGGAGCAGACTGCCATGTTAATTGGTGGAAGCTATTTTGACAGCAGCATCCAAGGCTCTGTGAATGTTATCCATGTACAGTGCCTTCAGAAAGTACTCATACCCCTTGACTTATGCCACATTTTGTTTTGTTACAGTTTGAATTCAAAATTGATTAAATACACTTTTTTCTACAGACAATACCTCATAATGACAAAGTGAAAGCAAGTTTTTAGAACTGTTTGCAAATATATTGAAAATGAAATACAGTATTCACACCCCTGAGTCAATATATGTTAGAATCACAATTGGCTGCGATTACAGCTGTGAGTCTTTCTGGGTAAGTCACTAAGAGCTTTGCACACCTGGATTGTACAATATTTGCACATTATTATTTAAAACATTCTTCAAGCTCTGACAAGTTGGTTGTTGATCATTGCTAAACAGCCATCTTCAAGTCTTCCCATAGATTTTCAATACGATTTAAGTCAAAACTATAACTAGGCCACACAGGAACATTCAATGTCGTCTTGGTAAGCAACTCCAGTGTATATTTGACCTTGTGTTTTAGGTTATTGTCCTGCTGAAAAGGTGAATTTGTCTCCCAGTGTTTGTTGGAAAGCAGACTGAATCAGGTTTTCCTCTAGGATTTTGCCTGTGTTTAGCTCTATTCCGTTTCTTTTTATCCCAAAATATTCCCTAGTTCTTGCCGATGACAAGCATACCCATAACAGCCACCACCATGCTTGAAAATATGAAGAGTGGTACTCAATGATGTGTTGGATTTGCCACAAACATAACGCTTTGATTTCAGGAGATAAAGTTAATTTCTTTGCCACATTTTTAGCAGTTTTACTTTAGTGCCTTACTGCAAACAGGATGCATGTTTTGGAATATTTGTATTCTGTACAGGCTTCCTTCTTTTCACTCTGTCATTTAGGTTAGTATTGTGGAGTAACTACAATGATGTTGATCCATCCTCAATTCTCTCTTATCACTGCAATTCAACTCTGTAACTGTTTTAAAGTCACCACTGGCCTCATGGTGAAATCATGAGGACAGTGGTTTTGTTCCTCTCCGGCAACTGAGTTAGGAAGGACGCCTGTACCTTTGTAGTGACTGGGTGTATTGACATACACCATCCAAAGTGTAATGAATAAATTCACCATCCTCAAAGGGATATTCAAAGGTATATTCAATGTCTGCTTTTTTTTTTTTTTA